GGCCATGCTGAGGCCGCGTCCCACATACAGCAACTAGAAGGATGTGCAACTATGACATACAACTATCTACTGGGGCTTCGGGGGGAAAAATAAATAAATAAGAAAAGGATTTCATGCTAATTCTCTTTTAGTTTAGGAAGCATATGATTAAGAATTTTGTCATCTAACTTGAAATTTCACATATTTTAATATAAATTGATCTAAATGTTTTCTTTAGCACGTCAAAGCCATTCCACTTAAAAATTCTCTTTAAATCTAAACAGATACATTACTTGACCTTTTCTAAAGTACTATAAAATTGGTAGTTATATAAACTCTATTATTTGTAGTTTTCTATAATGCACTGATTCATTTTTAAATATATATTCTTTAAAAAATAATAATAGCAAATACCTCAAAAAGAGTGACAGAATATACCTTTCTTTTTTGTTCTGTAATGCTAATTTACATTTTGAGTCTTAGTTTACTTGGTTCTAAGGGTTAAACAATAAAAAGTGTAACTACAATTAGTTGTGTTCCTGTGACCTGATGATTTTTAAAAATTTGCTTTTCTCTTTGAATTGAGAAATTTAAGATTTCAAGGACTGAATTAGTTATCTAAATACTTTGGGCTAATGTTACTTATGAATAAATTAAAAATTTGGAAATATATTCATGATAAAAATTTTGTACCTTACACTGCTTTTTCTTTCTTTTCTTCTGCTTTTTTTTAAAGTTCCCTTTGAAGTTTTGACCTTTGCATGCACAAAGTCAAGAAAAGAGAAATTCTGCCTTTTAAAAATTGGTTTTCCTTACATTTTATAGTGGTGTATTTTTGCCTCAGCAATAATAAAACTTAGATAAAATGTGTTATTGGATCAAGTTCAGTTTGTCTGCTGAGATTTTTAAGAACCAGGTTGAAGTCACTATGCCTAAAAAGCATTAATTGTCTGTATTCATATGAACCAAATTCATGGCTACAAATAATAATCTTGCAACCAAAAATTGGTATATTAAAACTTATTGCACACTTTGAGATTGCTGCCCTTTTTGGTGTTTTTTTTGCCTTCTCATCAATAGGTATATGGCGTATTGAAGGAAAACTATTCAGGTAACATATTCTGCATTAACTGGGCTGTATTATCTAAGAAGAGCTACATAAAGCTTTTCATTTATTCCCACCTACTAACTTGAAAACTATTGGTAAAATCATCATACGATAGACTAATATTTTCTACGTTAGTAAGACTTACCTTACAAAAGTAATCAGATAATGCTGATATTTCTCTTTAAAAGGCTAATGACAGTTCTTGGTACTGAGGTGGTTGGTTCCTACAATAACTACTGTACCTGCTACTATATTGAATATTATTAGATTTGCTGAAGATTCTGGGTTTGAAGATTAGCTGGAAAGCAATAGATTTGCTACCATGAATCATGACTCAGATTATCCCCATGTGCTTTACTACCTGTATATGAATGCAAATGTTGTTACAGAAAATATGCTTGAAATGTCAATACAATGTGCAATTAGTATTGCATTGTTATGCTTCAGCTTGTGGTATCTGTATGGTGAATTTATTTCAGTTACTCAGATATGTACTATAATAAACAATGTTTAACATAAGAAAGCTACAATATGTCATCAAATGGTTATTTCTGTTTTGCACACACACACTGTTTTTAGTAGTAGAAGAGATTGGCTCTCAATTAAGTTTTCAAGGTGATGAAATATATTTTCACAGTAATTTTCGTCTGTTGTACAGACAGCGATGGCGCCGTGGAGTAACTTTACCTGCTATTAAAGTCAGGTTGAGTAAATGAAATTGGTGTCAATTCCTCTCTTAGTTAGCTGGAAGGCAGACTGTTCTAAAATTTAGAAATGACACTTTTTTACCTTTCTAGCATCATTGATTATAACAACAGTATTGCTAATCTGAATAGAGTTATAGCAGCATCTCAGCTATGAAGTTCATTTTTT